TTTTTTTTTTTTTTTTTTTTACATCATGTGACCATAAAATTACACTGTTTTGCTGTATTTGAATCGGTTAAAATGTTTTGATTTTACAAATATATATATATATGTTTTTTTTAAACTACTTTTAAAGTTTTTAAACAGTATTCCACCCATTTTTCTAACATAATTTTTCTGTCGCTGTTGCAAGATTTTCAACATTTTTTAAAATGGATTTTCTACACCAAACATAATTAGATTTTAATGTGTTAATTGTGCAAAACTAAAAATTAGCAGGATAACTAACTACTGAGCGTGGTTTGATAACTATCAACTAATACAATGGAATAACAGACATTTGTTAAAGTCTGTTTGCATGTATTAAGAATGTATCTGTGTATGTGGGGGGGGAAATAAAGCCTGGTGTAGCTGCAGATGGAGCTGTGTAAATTATGGAGAATAAAACGCCGACCGTGACGTCATCTGAGTCAGCTGGAGCTGCAGTTTGAGTATGAAAGAAATCAGGGGGTGTGGAGTTGTAACAAAGTGAGCCTGCCACCAGCACACAAGAGTTGCACAGAGTTGCATAACAGAGGCGGCAGGTTCTGACAAGGAGTCCAACAATGTAACAGGAGTGCAACGCTCCATTTGTGGAGTTCTGAGAGAGTTGTGTTTGAATAAAAGAAAAACCTACACGTGTCTGGAAAGCATGCAAACGAGAGATGCCCCGCAGTAGCTCATGCATTCATTTACAGAAACTAAATTTAATGCTATTTTAATCTGTTTTACTCCTACACAAAGAACTCAACTGTCAGCCCTGCAGTATCCATTCAGTCAGTCTAATTACATTTACTATTAATTGACCTTGAGTTGTCTGATGATGCAGACGTCTGCAGCGTGTAACCTTCCACTGCATGCCATGACACTGTGGCTTTACTATAGCTTTTTGATGTTTTTTTTTTCTTCATTTTTTTATTTTTACAGCATCCTGAATGTAAATGTGTAGGAGCGTAATTGTGTGTGCGTGAGTGTGTGTGTGCACAGTTTCGTTCTAAATGTGTGGATTCCTTGCCTTGCTGTAAAGCTGTGAGTCACTCTGTTGTCTTCAGGCCCCGCGCGTCTGATTGTGGCTGGATTTGCTGAGAGCAATTATTCATTTTTCTCTTCTTTCTTTTTTCCCTTTTGTCTCTCTCTCATCATTTGTTCTTTATCCTCCTCGTATAATCTTCCCCCATCGTCCCTGTGTGTGTGTGTCCGTCCAGGTATGTGTTTGAGAGCGTGGGCAACAAGCGGACACTCACTATCAACAAGTGCAGCCTGTCGGATGACGCAGCATACGAGTGCGTGGTCGGGGAGGAGAAGTGCTTCACGGAGGTTTTTGTCAAAGGTATATGAGTCACTGTCTTTGGAGGAATCCTTCTTTCAGGAGGGAGAGGCTTTTTTTTTTCTTCTTCTGCTCGGTTTAGCAAACGCTGTCATTTGAGCGTTGAGAGGCTTGACAGCTCTGTTCCCCTTCTTGTGTCTGTGTTTGTCATCTGTTTATTTCGATGCTTTCATGCCACACAGTAACACGCCGCACTCTGTTGTCTGCTCACTCATTTTTAATGGGTACGTGGCGAGTGAAATTTTTATGCTTTGTTTATTGTCATGTATCATTGTCGTCGTGCTGTATGTATTAATGTGATGACATATTTATTACAGTCTGACTGATATGAGTGTTTATGGAGGACAATTTGAATACTAATTGTAACATTAAATTTGGTGGTCGGCGTATCTCAGAGCTATATTTCGCACCGAGAGTCATGAAAAAAGCAGAAATGTTCAGTGTTTTTGTTGTTGCATAAGTGCTTTAATGGAAAACACGGTAAATGGAATAAACACTGCCACATCATTAAAACCACTGACAGGTGAAGTAAATAACACTGATTATATAATTACGATGGCATCTATATTTTAAGCAGCAAGTAAACAGTCGGTTGTTGAAGTTGGAAGCAGGAAAAACGGGCAGCGTGAGGATCTGATGAACTATTACAGGAATCAAAGTCTGATGGCCTCTCGACTGGATTAGAGCCTCTCCAAAAAGGCAGACCTTGTGGGGTGTTTTGGTCTACAGAGGTTACCGAAAGAGTTACCAGAAAGGACAACCAACGAACCGGTGACAAGGGTATGGGTGCTGGTTCTGTGTTTGCACCGGTCTCGCTGGTCACGATAACCCCGCCCCCAGCCCCTGAGAGAGAGAGAACTGGTGCAAATCAGGCTCTGGCTCTGAACTAGCACCGGAACCAAACAAAGGGGTGAGAGTATCCATGCTGGCTCCTGTCCACCACTGAAAGCTCCTATGATGGACAGAACTGGACCATGAATGGAAGAAGGCAAACTGGTCTGATAAATGACGCTTTCTTTTACATCATGTGGAGATGGCAGAAGCTGTGTGATGCTCTGGACAATCTGCTGGGAACCCTTTGATCCTTCTATTCATGCGGATGCTGCTTTCACATCTTCAAATGTACTTCAAGAAGTTTTTGGCCTCATCCAGAAACAAAGGGCGTAACTCCCATTTTTGGGGCATAACTGTATACTATAAACTCCTATGTCACTGCTGTTGAAGCAATCAAAGACAAAAGAAGAGGAAAGCTTTGAACTGTGCTGCTGCTGCTCCAGGACCTTGAGTCCATCCACACAGTACAGGTGGCAGAAGCAGCTAAATGTGGCTTTAAACTGTTGCTCCATGAACCTTACTCACCTGACCTGACACTGTCTAGCTGTTCCCCAAACTGAAACCTCACTTGTGTGGTCACCATTTTATGATGGTGCCATGCAATGATGAAGTCATGCAGACTGTTGAGGAGAATCTGGGGGCTCAAGATGTGACCTTCTTCTGCAACGGGATGGTGAAGCTTGAACATCGGTGGACAACATACATTGACGTTAAAGGAGACTGCGTTGAAAAATAACAAGAGAACGATTATTCTCCTAAGATGTTTTTTGGTGAGAACCAGAACGTTTTTGAAAAAACATTGCTGTAGGCCAGGTACACCCCTTCATAGCAGCTGTTGGCCCCTTTAAGCAGCATAGTGGTTTGAGGAACACAACAAAGAGTTCAAGGTGCTTATTTCAAGCTCCAAGTTAATCAGATCTCAATTCGATCCCACCTTCGAGGTTGTAAAGGATCCGCTGTTCAAGTCTTGGTGCCTGAAACCATGGGAAACCCTCAGAGGCCATGACGGGTCAGAGCAGTGTTGGCAGTACACAATAATCGGTGGTTTTAATGTTGTGGTTAATTAGTGTATATTAACACTGCACTATTATCACTCTCTGGAATTTTTTTTTAGTAGTTGTATTTTATTTTATATGTACATTATTATACTATATTATGTCTTATCAGACTAAACAGGGTTTATGTAATCAAACTAACTGCATCACGCCTGTCCTGTTTCTTCACCGTATGTTTTAATGGATGTAATCGGGTCCACTGCATCTATATTAATCCTATGCTTTGCTCGGTGTGCTCACGGCTGTCAATTCTCCCTTTACATTATCAGAGGCCACACAGGAGGGTAAGCTCTTCAGCACAGACACCGCTTCAATGCAGCCTCAGTGTGTGTGTGTGTGTCCGTATAAATATCATTCATGCGGCTGTTTGCAAACACCTGCATCAGTACCTTTTGTCGCTGATTCATCTTGACGTTCGCGAGGGCAGCGGAGAGTTCAGCAGGTGACAGCTAGTCAAAGCTAGCAGTCGCAGTACTTATAAAAAGACATGGAGTACTTTGGCTAAAGCTCAGGCCTCCGCTGTGTAGTAGTGTGAGGTTTCCACAAACATGGCAGTTTCCAATTCAACACTTGCAGAGCATTGTGAAATGAGAACTAAAATATCAATGCATGTAAAAGTTGTGTTCCTTCTCAAGTCAGATGACTAAACATTCACATTCTTTTGTATTTTTTAGTGACTCCTGACAGTGTGTTGAGATAGAAAGCATTTCAACTCAAATAGCAATGTTCATTCTTCCCAAACAGCCCATATAGAAGACATGGGACGTGTTTCTTTGTTATTTTTCTTCGGTCGAACTTCTTTTTCCTCTTTATAACGTTCCATATTCATAAAGCCGAGGGATAAGTACAGAAAATTTGCCCCAGTTGAAACATTTTCAGATCGTGCAGATGGCACTGCTTTGGGTAAATCCCCAACTATTGCCCAGTAGCCCGCTTTAAATTGGAATTAAATGCAAATGTGCCACAATTAAGTTTTCATCTGAATACACCTTTAGAGCATTTCTGAACCCCTAAACAGATATATAATGGGTTATCCCAAGAACAAGTATGAAACACTAAACCTATGGAATTATTGCTACTATTATTGCAAAGTTTTACCATTTATTTTGTGCTGTGATGCTTCATGAAGGTTTGTCCTCTGTCCTTAACATCTACTTGGATACGTCTATGTCTCTATCTATTCCTGAGGGCAAATGAAATCCTCAGTTTTTAAGCGAACAAACCATGAATCGCACAGAGAACATTGAGCTCATTTCACAAAACTTTTGTGATTCAGATCGTACATGTGTCTGTGAGTTTGTGCCACTCATCAGCTGAAGGCAGAGCGAATTGAGCCGCCCTGAGGGGGACGGCGTCCTGACGATGACAAATAGCTGAGGCTAGCAGAGCATCAAGCTTCACACCATGTGGTGACACAATATGACTCCCGCCACCTCAGGAGACGGAGGTTCTACTTTTGCAAGACGGGTCTGTTTGGTGGCTTTGATGAGGACTTCAGGAGCATATTGTGATGTTATTCAAATTTTAAAGAGTGTTGCACATGTTGTCCTCTGTTATCTCCCACCATCCACAGAGAGGAAAGAGTACTAAATATCTGAAGTATATGTGTATATATCTAAAAATATTAACACCTTTGGAAGTTTGGATGTTTATTCTTTACAACATTCAGTCATGACCAATATAATTTGGCTTTTTTTTTGGCAAGAATTTACCAAAAGAAAGACTCTTTCATGTCAAAGTGAAAACAGAAATTGTAAAATAAATGAACAGGGGGGTGAATACTTGTATTTACTTTTAAGTTGTAGCTGGAAAGTGTGGCTGGAAATCCCAGAAATAATTTTTCCTATAATAAAATAGATGTCCTGACTGATTCTTAGTGATATTCAGCAAACTGCTAACTCAGACAAAAGTGTTACAGTACAATCTAAGAAACATCTATGTATTAACAGCTGCATGAGCAGAAATTGTACACAGGTCTATATTTGTGTATTCACATTACTGAATTGCATGTTTTATTGTCTTTCTTTATGTTTGTTTGTAATGTTAAGAGGTATTGTAATTAATTAGCAAACTTGGAAAAATTTAGTGATTGTAAAAATGTGTTTTATTTTGGTTTGGTATTTTTACGTTAAATGTTGTAGACTATTTGTCAGATTTTTATTTTTTTTTTTTAACAAGAGGTATTATCACTGCAGGGACATCATTGACTAACAGAAAAATGTAATTTCAGTCATTAACCATTTCTCCAGACCAGTAATACGAATACAAATGTAAAGAAACCATGTAAGAAATCACGTACATCCCTGGTTATTGTTACTGTCATTGTTTTGGGTACATGCTCATGACACAAAGCAACAATGGGCATTCACAAACTGGATGTAATATTATCGTTTCCCACTCTCCAATTTACACAAGCCAGAGTTGATAAAAGTCTTCAGTTTAGAAGGTGTTCAACAAAATCTCTGTTTAATGTCTTAAAATGCATGCAGATGAGACGCCCAAACGTTGACAGAACTAATTAATTTTGCAAAATATCTGCATTAATGTGAGGCCTTAGTTGAAATCAAGATTTTGCATGTGTCGCCCGAGGCTCACACAGTCGCCAAATTAGTTGTTTTGTCATGCCGTGTTAAAAACCATTACTCACGCTACTCAAGTGCTGTTACCTTCCAGATCTGTTTGCCTACGACGCTTCTTTTCTCCCCCACTCATGTTTGCGGCCAGTGTATCTCCGGTGATTCAGATACGTACAGTTGGTGATTTACATAACACGGTAGTACAGGTCTTTAATGACTCAGTGGCCCTCTGCCGTTTTAAAGGAGGTTTGACTCAAAGCTGTGCTGTGTTTGTCTCCAGAGCCTCCAGTCACCATCACCAAGCTGCTGGACGACGTTCACACCGTGGTGGGTGAGAAGGTGGAGTTTGAAGTGGAAGTGTCTGAGGAAGGAGCCAACGTCAAATGGTGAGTTAACGCTCGCTTTGGTTCATTCTGATATTAATTATGAAATGCAGACTCATTAGTCGGAGGTCAGCCTACAAATATAGATGACTAAACAGTCCGCTGAGCCAGTAAGTTTGGAGGCCTTGTAAAACTAAAGTAAAAAAAAGTGTTGCTATGTGAGATGTTGACGTGGGATTCATCATTATCGCAGAATGTGATGTAAATGTGGACTGAGGTATCTTCAGTTCAGGCAATAACATCAACTTTCATGCAGTAAAAATCTAATATTAAACCATATTATCGTATGTACAGCTGTTTTCTTTCACCCAGTAGTTTGTAACTGTCATGTTGGAGCACAACAGCCTGCTGGAGGACCTGAATTTTTATCTATAATGTGTTTTTGTTACAACTTGTCATTTCTTATTCTTGATGTTATCATTGTTTCTGATATTATATGTAACTATATTAAACTTTTTAATCTTTTTAGGTCACTTTTTGTTTAGCTCTTGGAGTTGCATGGGTTGAATGCATGACTACATCGATAAAGTCTGACTGACTGATTGATGGAGTTTCTACTCATCAAGAAAGTGAAGCAATGGACAAACACTTGAGAACCTAGTTCATTGCTGAAAAAATGGTAGAAAAAGCAGAAAGAAAAGCTTGCAAATGCCCGGTCGCTTGTGTTCTGCAGCGCAGCAGAAATTCCTCTCTGCCTTACAAATGTTTTACTTTGTTACAGTACAAAACACTGAGGACTTTGTCTGAGAATTTAGGGATATACGTATAAGCCTGGATGGGCTGTTAACTGGGAAACTGTCTTTGTTGGAGGAGCTTGTTTTATGAGCAGGATTTAGTTTGTACATATTCAGATCACATGACGTCAAAGCGATGATAAAATGATGAAATGAGTAACAAAATGTAAACATGCATGTAAAAGTTATGTTCCTACACAAATCAGACAATATTATTCCAAAACTTAAACTGATACACTTTGCCTAAATGGAAAACAGTAAAGTTAGTATTTTCTGACAGTGACTCATGAAGGTTTGCCCAGGTTTCCAAATGTACTCACCCCAAACAGTCAATGTACCAAATGTCAACTGTAAGCTGGCTGTGAACTGACTAGTTGGTACATTTAAGTCTCAGCCTTTTACTCTGTGCAACAAAAACCCTTTTGGTCTGTTGTTTTTTCTCAGTCCAACTTCTTTTTCCTCCAAATGTTTATGAAGTAATGCCAGATTCATAAAGCCGAGGGATAAGTGCAGCTTACTTCCACTAGTTGAAACATTTTCAGATCATGCAGATGGCTTACTCCACTGCTGTGGGTAAATCCCAAACTATTGCCGAGTAGCCTCTTCACAATGAGATTATACACAATTGTAGCACATGTAAATCTGCATTTGTACACACCTTTAGAGTTTGTGTGAACCTCCAAACAGATAAACTGGGTTATTCCAAAGCAGAGAATAAAAAAACATGAGAAAGCAGAAACAAAATATGCAAATACCCAGTTGCTTGTGTTTTGCATTGCAGCAAGAATTTGCCTGACGAATTTGCAAACACAATAGTATGTTATTTTTTGCTTTGTTACAGTGCACAGCACTCAAAATTTTGAGAACTTAGGGATGTATGCATAAGCCTGGATGGGCTGTTAACTGGAAACCTTTCTTACGAGCAGGACGTTTTCATACATCCACATTAAACAACAGCTTATAACATCCTTTTATTGGAAGAATGTCTGAGAGCTATTTTAACAATTGTTATGAGAGCACAACCCAAAGTCTATTTGAAGAAACGCTCACCTCCTGCACCATCTTCAACTGTGCCAAAGCTTTGTGATCCCTGAAGGCTCCAGCCATGTAGAGCGCTGCCGACATGTCAATCAATAGCTCTTCCTCTCTTCTCTGTGCTCAAGTGTCACTGATGCATGTGTGTGTGTGTGTGTGTGTGTGTGTGTGTGTGTGTGTGTGTGTGTGTTTTCTGCGCAGGATGAAAGATGGAGTTGAGCTGACTAGAGAAACTGCGGGTTCAAAGTACAGGTTTAAAAAGGATGGGAAGAGGCACATTTTGATCATAAACGAAGCCACTACAGAGGATATTGGGATGTACTACGCCTTCACCAACGGTGGAGAGTCGAAGGCAGAACTGGAGGTTGAAGGTACTTTGTCCTCTAATAGTGTTAATACTAGTCTTTCCAGGTTTAGTACGGATAGACCAAGAAACACACACACACTCAAAGCACCAGTCGTGTTCATCAACCTGAAGAGAATCCAACAGCATCAGAAGCAGTAAGTTAAAGTTGACTAATGATGCCTCAGTGAGGAACTTAAACAAAATTTAATCAACACATGTTGATGTTTTCCATCCTGACAAGCATGAAAAGCAGCAAATTAGTCATTACTCATGTCATAATTAATATTACTTCATTAGTATCTTGTATCAGTGGTTCACAGTATTCGTCATAGTGATTTTCTTCTTCACCTCCGAAATTGATACCAGGCTTCAGACAGCCGGCTGTCTTAGTCGCTGCATACTTGCAAACCAGACGAGTCTCCTAAATTGATTATAGTGTGAGAAAATGTCTGTCCCTCCTCCTCAGCTGCAGGATAGGAATGCAGAGAGGAAGCAGTCTAGTCACAGTTGCTGTGAATCAGGTGGTTAATATGAACGTCGTATTGCAATCTAGGCGGCTAAATAGACTGTCTGCATGCAGTGGATCCACAGATGATGGAGGAACACCTCATTATCATAGTGTGACTCTGACATACAGGCAAAGAAATAATTCAGAGGAAATGAACACGTTTATTACTCCTCAAATGTGGTCCAAAAATAGATGAGTGCATTTAATGTATGAAGCAGTAATCCATTCGTAAGTTATCAAAATAAATATAAAAAGAATAGGTCACTTTAAAAAAAAAAAAGTACAATTATTTAATAATTAGCCAGATCCAAGAGGCAAAATGCCAACAAGAAGCCAGACACCAAGGCCTACTGAAGCAAGAATAATAACAAAAAGATGAACATGTCAACATAAATAAGTCCAAACAAAATATTAAAAGATAATAGAAGCCTTGATGGATTATAAGAAGATGATGTCACATGAAAGCAGGGTATAAAATGTAGTGATTGAAAGGAAGTCACTGATGCTGCATGGCAAGTTGTTCCAGAGCGATCTGACCGCAAACACACCTTTAGATTTAAGATTCAACTCCGGACCAGCCAGAACCGCCCCACCTGAGGGTCCCATGCTGTAAGCTGGCACACACGCGGTCAACATATAAGCTATGTAGCTCTGAGCCAGAACCAGACAAGCTTTAAAAGTGACTACTATCTTAAAATCAATTCTTAAACAAACAGGGAGAGAAGCAGGAGTAGAGTGTTGGGATGCTGTCTGCTAAATTCAGCAAGAAGCAGAACTGCAGAAGTCAGAACAAGATTGAACAGTGACTTTTGGGTAATGCCAGAGAAGAGGGAGTTGCAGTAGTTAAGTCTGGAAAAATAACGTTTTGTAAAGACATAAATGCTGTTCTCATGTCCTTACAGTAAATATGAAACCACAGCAGCAGAGGGATAAGTTAACACAAAGACTGGAAGCAGAGGAACAGTTAGACTCTGTGAAGCTTCTGTGCATAGAAATATTCTGGTACATGACGCTGCTGTGGTAAAACCCAAACATTTGGGCCTTGACTGGATTACACACACAAGATATTACATGTTGAATATATATTTCCAACCTTTTTACTGGGGCTGCCACTAACAGCTATTGTTCTATTGATAAATCTAACAGTTATTTTACCAGTTACTCCATCAATATAAACCCCTTAATTTTCCTCGAAAAATATAAATAACGACCATTTCAAGTCATTTTTTTTTGACACACTGCGCCGTTGTGTAAAGCCGCACATGACTGACTGTACAGTAGATAAAGGTTTATAGAGTGAACTGTAGAGTCCAACTTAATCAACATAAATTTAAAACTAGAGGGCTTATTATTTAGGTTAGTTACACAACTCCAAAAGAAATGCAAGTTTCTCTTAAGTGTCTTAATAAAGTCAAGTCAGTGTAGTTTGTCTATTAAATATTTGAGCACAGAGAGCAGGAGAGAAGCAAACACATGCATAGTGTTTCCATAGTGCTACTGTGGTTTGCTATTGGAACTCTGCACAGTGTACAAACCACCTCTATGTTCCCTAATTATTTGAAGTTCTCGAATTCTTTGGAAGCCTTGTGTCTTTGGAAACTTCAACTCTGCTGCAATTCTCTAAAACTGTATCTCTGACTTCAGCTGGCTGGAGCCAAAACTGACAGATGTCAAAAACAACGAGTTCAAGTTAAAACAAAACTGGGATAAAAATATTAATGTTGACATATTTTAAGCGTCGACATCATCAATTATGCCGTCTAATTTCAACAGCACTATGTTTCACAGAGCCATTTTAGCTGTTTTACTCTATTTCCTTTCCCTTTGATAAGCTAATTCCCTGCTGGCTCCTGGTACACTTCAGGCATGACAGTCATCTCATCTAACTCTCTGCTACAAAGTGAACAAAGCTGATTTCTCAAAATGTTGAACCGCTCCTTGAGAACAGGTTGTACAAGTACAGTGAAACTTTAAATATTGGGTTTTGTCAAGTGATAACTCAAGTGTATTTGTGACCTGTAGTCACATGTTGCCACGTGGCACGGGTCAAAATCAGCTGCATTGTCGGCGTAAACAAACCTCCATATGCTGCACTATGTTTCGATCTATGCCGTTTTCTTCCTTTTATTTACTCCAGAAAAGGAGCTGGAGGTTCTGCAGAGCATAGCTGACCTGACGGTGAAGTCAGCTGAACAGGCTGTATTCAAGTGTGAAGTGTCAGATGAAAAGGTGACGGGGAAGTGGTTCAAGGATGGTGTCGAAGTCCAGGCCAGTGATCGCATCAAAATGACGCACATCGGAAGGTACCGCTGCACATCAGACTGCTGTGGGTTCATGCTTTAATGTGAGAAAGCTGCAGTTCAAAGCCTTCCATTTTTACCCTCGTGTACGGTTACGCGCATCCAAACACAGACTCACGAAATCATATAGCTATGACAATAAACACCGTCTGCCACATGGCTCTTGCACACTATTTCTAAAAAGGGTTTTCTCGGTGGTTTGACCCATTTTTAGGATAGGCTGCAATCTGTAAAGCTCTAACCTCTAAACACACTCACATGCAGCATACACAGCCCGAGGGTCTGGGGTTTCTCTCAGTAATCCCTCCATCAGAGCGGCCTATGACAGGAGATATGCCAAGGCGACAGCGGTCACACAAGGTGAAAGCCATTTAGTATGTTTCTCACTGCCATATAGCTCATGGAGAATGTTGCTAGGGCAACTGTCCTTTGCATAATTGTGGGTCATAGCGAGTGTTGTCTCCTTGGTAACATCTGGTAACACGTCCTCAGGACCCACAAGCTTACGATTGATGACGTGAAGCCTTCAGACGCTGGAGATTACACCTTCGTTCCTGATGGTTACGCACTTTCTCTCTCTGCAAAACTCAACTTCCTGGGTGAGAGAGACACACAAAGTGACACGTGAAGCTTTTATGAATGCAAACTAAGCACGTCGACACTTTTTTTTTTAAGGTTGATGTGTATTTTTTTTCTCCTCAGAAATCAAGATCGACTACGTTCCCCGGCAAGGTAAGTGTTGCTTTTTGGAACAATATATTTCAATTCACTGTCTGGCATGACGGTAAATATTAGATCTATGTGAATGTACTGACATAATGTATTGGTCTGAAGTTGGATATCAGCAGAACATCAGCCAATATGGTGAAAGTTTGCACCTGCAAACTGGGCAAATGAAAAGCTATTATAAAGTATTAGTCATTGATTTAACCCATAAAAACTCATTTCTGTGTATCATTGTTTTTTTTTCTCATGAAAACAATCCCTTATTGCCTTTAAAAACCAAAGCTGTAACTCTACTCTGTTGCATCCTTCAGAATGTACAGATCTATAAGTCGCTGCCTTTCTTTAAACTCCCCTCTCCCACCGCTGCAAATCGAGCACACCAGCTGACTCTGGTCAGACATGGCAAAACCACACTGTAAAAAAATTGGTAACTTTTTTCCCCTTATTTTAAGTTTTGTTTGGGCTTTATGTAACAGGGCAGTAGAGAGTGAGACAGGAAAGTGGGGAGAAGAACGGGGGAAGGACAAGCAGCAAATGGCCATAGGCTGGATTCGAACCCATGAATGCTGCGTCGGGGACCACAGCCCCTGTACATGGGTCACCAGCTCAACCAGTTGAGCTATGGCTGTGGCCTTTTCCCCTCGCCTTTCACATTAAAATATCAGTAAAATTATAAAATAAAACTGACTTAATTTGCATGTCTCATGTAAAATAACATGAAAAACTAGCAATTTGGAATAACCCTAAAATTTCAAAACATTTTTAAAGAATTTTTTGTGACTTTTTTTGACATAAAACACTGTTAACATATAGTAACGGTGCTGACTGCTTATTTCACTCACTGTATGTCTTGTAGGATATATAATACACCACACGGACATCTTAACGAGGTAAAAAGAAAAGCAAAAGATTTCTTAAAACTGTCAAGCTTCATCAAAAGGCCCAAGTACAGACGCGAACACAGCAGGCCAGTCGTGATATTCGAACTGACAAATTCTAATAGAGAACCTTATTGGGGTGGTAGAGGTGATCCATGGAAAAATTCACACAAAGATAAAGAAGGAAATCCAAAGAAATCAAAATCTAAAAATTCACAGAAATCTAAAAAAGCAACAAAAACACAAACCAGAGGAGCACGGAGAAGGCCAGAGAACATGAGGATAGCAAACAGGAGGAAAACCAACTGAACGAACTGACAAAGACTATTTGGACACTCACACAACTGATTGTGGAGACCGGACACTGGTGAAAATCAGCAGAGCAATCAAAAAACGGAGGGAAACGGAGACAAAGGAAGGAAGTAAAAAAACACAAGCTACATGCAAGAGAAGGTGTGTTGAAATGAAACAGAAAGTAAAAAGAAAACAAACCCAAAGACCAAGACAAAAAGCACTGTAGGGCTTTTTATGTTACAAGTTTCAAGCATGTTTTGCCTCTTACCACACCCAACATCAATGAGGGCTCTGTGGTGCGCTTTGGTCCGCTTCTAGCTGCCCTCTGCAGAAATGTCACAGCGTACGGACACAATACAAGATGTGAAGCTAAATCACTGGAAGTCAGCAACAGATTGATTTTTAGCTGCTGTTTAGTTGCCCTTTGAACTCTTCCCCTTCGAAACTGAGTGGTCTGCTCGTGACACGCAACACTCGAGAGTGCTGCCCCTCTGAAAAGATCAAAAATAGATTGATCTGCAGCGGTCAAAGGTTGTGACAGAAAAACAAAAATCAACTTAAATGTTGAAAATGCTGCTCCAAGTGTGAAAGCATAAAAATTATCATCGAACCCTAATCTCTTTCTTCCAAAGATCCTCCCAAAATCCACCTGGACACCAGCGGCACGGGCAACAAGAACACCATCATCGTGGTGGCTGGAAACAAACTTCGTCTTGATGTTGAGATCACAGGAGAGCCGGCGCCCACCGTGTGCTGGATGAAAGGAGACACAGTGAGAAGAAACGCACCACATTCTCGCCATTCACCTGACATACAATCAAACTGACGTCAGACACTTTCTACGTTAGTCAGAGCATCCAGCCGTTAGTCAGTGAACGGCACAAAAGAAGAATGAAATATGAACGAGAGTGGGAAGGTTGAATAACCTGTCATTGTGGCAGCTGTCGTCATGCGACACCATCCTCCTCAGCAGCCTCTTTGTTCTGTGTGTCCTTCGCTCTGCGCTGCCCCGCGTGGTAGGTGGTGGCTGAGGCCGAGGGACGGGTCCGCGTGGAGACCAGGAAGACCCTGAGCAGCTTCGTAATCGAGGGGGCGGAGAAACAGGACGAGGGTCCCTACTCCATCACCGTGACGAACCCAGCCGGCGAGGACAAGGCCAACGTCATTGTCAAAATTGTGGGTCAGTGGCTTTTTCTCACTTTTTTTGCCTTCTTCTCCTTTCTGTTCTCAGGTTGTTGTTTTTTTTTGTTGTTGTTTGGTTGTGGTTTTTTTGGCTGGCTGAGAACTATAGGTCCTTGAGCTGAGACTGTGTGGTAGTCAGAAAACAGTGACTCAAACTGAGTGATAATGATGCAGAATTTTCACTGTTGGTGCAGTGATTAAAAAAACTGTACCTGATTATAACTGCATACCAGTTGCATGTCTTAGTCATTTCAATTACCACGATTACGACGTCAGTATCACTGCCAGTATTACTGCTTACTTGTCTATAATCTTTTTGAAGCTTACTTTTCCTTTCGTAATAGATCATGATTTTCTGTGACACCCTTAATTTATTCTAATGTTATGTAATTTTGTTCTGAGCAATACTCAGCAGAAGGATGAAGTTCTTCTTATCTTATACTATCCTATCCTATGCTGTTGTGGCTTTCAAGGCAGGCACGGAATCTGTGACCTATTAGTAATGCTATTCCTGTGCATTATTGCAACTACAGATTAGGATTACCATGTAATCATGACAGTATAACTTTCATATTATTAATTTCTAAGTTTAGCGTCTCTACTCCAAGGTAGAGTTTCAGAGACAGTCATGAATAGAAAACAGCTGGAATGATTTAAAACACATTTAACCTTGAAACAAAACAACAAGCAATTCTGACACCAATTTAATTAGATTGAAATATTTCCACTGCACTAGTTTTCAGGATTGTAGTGAAATCAATGACAAGCATTTGCTGAAAAGTTGCAAAACACATTTAAATTTACAAGACACCGCAGAAGGCTTTAAAAACTAATGTGATTTGTCATAATCTCTGCGGATGTGTGTTTTTAATGACAACATCCATGAAAGACAAATAAAAATCCAGCTCTTTTCATAAATAGTCAAAGAGAAGCTGCGAATATGAGGCTCTACCAGTGTTTTTTTGTGCATTCAGTCACATCTGCGTGTTTTCTTACATACTGTACCGCCTCCTCTCGTGCCCATGTCTGCTCTCATTTCTCTCTCCGTTTCATCTTTCCTCACTTTCCATTTCCAACTGTAACCTGCTTCTCCAGATGTGCCCATCCCTCCTGAGAATGTCAAATGCACATCAGTTGGCGAGGACTCTGCTATAATCACATGGGACCCTCCTCCGTTCGACGGCGGAGTTCCCATTAAAGGTACCGCTGAAACATGCAGCATCTAATGTTCACATCTGATGTCTGCCTCCCAGGAGGAAACAGCAGTTTACAATCCACTCTGTTTGTTTCACCGCAATGTTTTTGAACTCTTTTCCAAAGAACACTGAGCCATTTTTAACGACTTTGCCGTATGTCGGTGTTGCATCCTCCAGGATACCTGATGGAGAGGAAGAAGGTTGGCTCGGACAGATGGACGAAGCTCAACTTTGATGTTTATGAGTCCACCACGTATGAGGCTAAGAAGATGATTGAAGGTGTACTTTATGAAATGAGAGTGTTTGCAGTCAACGGCATTGGCATCTCTCAGCCCAGTGTGAACTCAAAGCCCTTCATGCCCATTGGTGCGTTGCCATTTGTCATTAGCAGAATGGTTAATTAACAGAGGCTTTTCACACAATGCTCATTTTGAGGCAGCTTAACCCACCTTCCCATCCCATTTACACCGGGTATTAACGTATTAATTAGCTCTTGTCTCTCTCAGCCCCCACCAGCGAGCCCACTCGTCTCATGGTGGATGATGTGACAGACACTACCTGTGCACTCAAGTGGCGTCCTCCAGAGAAAATCGGCGCAGGCGGCATTGACGGCTACATCATCGAGTACTGCAAAGAAGGAAGTAAATATCTGCAAAATGGATATTACTTTACAGTAAGGCATGTTAGTGGGGCTGTACGTTGGCCTAGTATATTAGGTAACCCTCAGAGCTCCAAAACCCACCAGAAAACATGGGAAAGCATGTTTCTTTTTTTTTTTTTTTAAATGCTACAATTACACGCTTTTTGACAGCCCTTGAACATGTGAAATAATTTGGTCATTTGCTGTTTTGTAAATCAGAAAGTCGAAGCTGATGTTGTGATATTTCATCAAACACATTTCATTCTACACTTCTAATTTAAGAAATTTACAAAAATGTATCATTTGCATTAGAGTCTGCAAAAAATATAAAATAGAACTGTGCTCTGTAGCTCGACCAAGAAGCCAGGACTGACTTTGCTGCAGTCAAAAATTCAGACCTTTTTTTTTAACTGCAGGCTGAGACTGAGCAGAAAATATAACATACTTGATCAGTGGCTGAAAATTTGTATACAGAGGCGCAAGTTGTTGGAAGATACATTCACATTGTATAACAACTGAGACAAGATTTATTTCAAGATTAACAGAAGATGAAAGAGTCACAAACATCTAAATGTGTCTGTCTCCACATGTAGTTGCTTCCTTGAGGTCTTTGAATGGTTCCTGATTTTCTGATCGGTTCCTCTCTTACTCCTCCTCTTCCTCTGTTCTCTCAGGTGACCAGTGGGTACAGGCTAATGAGAAACCAGTGGAAAAGAACCAGTACAGGGTGAAGGATCTCCCAGTGGGGGAGAAGATGCTGTTCAGAGTGATAGCTGTCAACATCGCTGGACGCAGCCCTCCTGCCACGCTCACCCAGGGAGTCACCATCAGAGAGATCATGGGTCAGACACAAGCTTTAACGGCACTCTGTAAAGAAAACACAGAAAAAAACAAATCCATTAAAAGAAAAAATCTGGCAGCAAATTTGCCAAAAAAAGAAGATATTTTTAGCTACAGAGTAAGGTCAATTCTGTGGAAATAATGTACAGTTTTGATTTTTTAATATTTTTTTTAAATTACAGGTGAAATGTAAATGTTTTTTTTTTCTGTGATTTTGCTGGTTGTTATCTATAATTTAACAAAACCATGAAAAACTGTAAAATAGCCTGTTTTAAAATTATTTACTATTTAAAAAAAAAAAAAATATATATATATATATATATATATACATATTTTAGCTTTATGTTTTGTTTTGTCTTGTTTTTGTTTTGTTACAGTCAACATGTGAATTAAACTTGGACACTGGGAAAATCTACAAAAAAAAAACCAACAACAGTTAAAAACATTCATTTTTATCAGTGTAGAGCTCTTTTTGGAAGGATGGTATGAAATACATTGTATAAATAAAGCCACATCTGTCAAACACAAGCCCGGCTTTGGTTCAGCAACCATTCAGACACAGAACTGCTTAAAAAAACATCTAATTATAAAGCTTACCTTTGTGTCTTAGCTGTTCTAAAATTACTATAAACCTCAAGGATTATTTCTTAACCACATACTGTGTCTAAGAAGGAATAATTCCACTGTGTATTTTCATATCTCCATAATGTATATCTAAAGCACACACACAAACGTACACATAATGTAAAGGCTGCACATGCTGTGCATCGTATATACATATATATATATATATTTCTACTCCTCCACATCGCCCACTCTTTCACCAGCGACTTATCTTTCCTTTTTCTCCTCTGTCCACCAACCAGAGAATCCAAAGATCCGCCTGCCTCGCCATCTGAGAACCAAACTCATCACACTTGTGGGCGAGAAGGTGAACTTGGTCATCCCCTTCCAGGTTAGTCTAAGTCTGGCTGTTTTTATCAGATTTTTTTTTTATATTTAAATGCAGCTTTTTGATTGTGTGCACTAGATTTACATAACAGACCAAAAGCAATCTGACACGAGTGAACGAGGCAAGTTGCCTAAAGACAACTGTCGCTTTTCACAGTGACCTCATCCAAAATATCCACATCAACATTTAAAAGTCATTTTTAAGTTTGGTATCTTTGAAAAAAAATGGACCAAAAAGTCATAGATAGAAACCTAAAAAACACTTCAAGTGAATCTTGGACTGAAACTGTAATTATATTTACAACAGTAAAAAAAGGGTTAATTTGTGGTGTCCTATATCTGCATAACATCCAAAGGCCTGTGTGTGTTTCGGATAATGGAATAACCTTCTCCTGTGGATGCAATCTGACAGGACATTTTTTCTTCTTGGAGAATGATAATCAGATCTATAAACGTTATTAGAAACAGCGAGAGCTCAAAGGGCACGGGGAGCATCACAGCGTTTGACAGCAACTTGCAAATCGCAGTGCTGCTAAAAGGAAGCTAACTGTGAGTAGCAAAGGGGAGGCCATTGTTGGAATTAAAAATAGACAAGAAGAAGAAGGTGAGCCAGAGCTCTGCCTCCTTTTGAGGAAGCAGATGAAAAGGCTGTTCTGAAGACAGAGAATGTGGCTACATGATGTTCTCCTGGGAGCAGAGTAGAGAACCCAGTGTTCTGTCGTCTTATCCGAAAGCTGGACAGAGTGTGTTCCTGCAGCTGATGAAATATGAGGTGAAACTAGAGTTAAGACGTGTTCTACCACACCAGGATGCCTCAAAATATGTCACAGCTTCTCTAAAGTCGACAGTAAATAATTTTTAGTACTTCATAAGTTCATTGAAACATTTATAATAATAAGAATAACTTTATTTGCATAGCACTTTTCCAAACAGTCCTACAAAATGCTTTATAATGAAACAAATGTCAAATAAAAAGAAGTAAATAATATCTTAAGCATGCAATTTAATGAGATAAAATAGTTAAGTAAAGGGTTTTGTTGGCAACTAAAGGAGCCCAAAAAATCTAAATACTGACGTCAAGACCCTTTTAGAAGTAGAACAACTTCAAAGAACCTTTAAGTTCATAATTGTTGGGGTTTTTTATGTGGCGTTTGGGTTTATTGTGGATGATGAAGATACTGTAGACTCTTCCTATTTAAATATTCAAATACAAACTTTTGATGTGGACATTATAGCATCATTTCAGTCCTCAATATACATAATCTACACTTTACATAATGGCAAATATCTGTAAAATATCCTCTTTTTGTTGCTGCTGCTTTAAATACAATAGTTGAAACAGTGTAATGTTATAGTCAGATATCGTATAAGACCTGTAGTTGTTTTCTTCTGACTAGATCCTTGCTTGTTTTGTATGTACACTCAGATGTCCGTCGCTTTGCATAAAAGCGTCTGCTAAATGAAACTGTAGAACTGTAGAGTTGTAAATCTCTCTGCTCCCTTCCATCTCTCTGACTGCAGGGGAAGCCTCGCCCTATTGTGACCTGGTTTAGAGATGGCGTCCCCCTGGAGGACAAAACGGTGGGAACTCGCACCAGCGAGGTGGACACCATCCTCTTTATCCGCTCCTCAGAGAGAACCCACTCCGGGAAGTACACGCTGTCCGTTCAGATCGAGAACATGTCCGACAGCGCCGACATCCACATCCAGGTTGTAGGTCAGTCCTCACCTGAAGAGACTCGCGCTGCATGTTCTCTCATTAAGATCAGAACACAACTTCACAAGGTGCACCGTTAATAACCTGTTTGGAGGAGGGGATGATGGCTTGAGCTCAAATCCGTGACATGTCAAGAGTTTTTTTTTTTTTCTCAAAATTTGATGATAATTCCTCATTTCATACTCCGAGGGATCTGTGACTCAAAGCAGCAAATCATCAAAGTGCTCATTCCTCCTGCTCGCATAATCCTGGCTCCTGCACTGCCACTGCGGCCGCCAGCTCATTCCTCAGCTTACGCCTCGCCTCCCTGGGTCAGGGTTCTGGGCGGATTATTTGGCGAAGGAATTATTTGTGCGCGGACTCGGATTAGGTTTGGATTTTCAGGGCTACTCTGTCACTTCCTCTGCTGAGAAGGTTGAGCTAATGAGAGGCTCAGATCGCCGGCCTCCCTCCCTCAGCTGATCTGTCACAGGAAGGATTGAGGGCTGAAAACACTTCTGTACTCCACCGAGGAGAGCACACAGCGAGATTAATGACAAATACATTACTGTGCTGTACAGTGTTCCTGCGCTGCGCTGTGTTTAGTGCAGGCCACACAGAAGGATCGATGATGAACGCGTTGCATTCTTCTGCTCTGTAATCCAGGCAGGCAAAGCGTACTATTTCTTTGTCAGTTCTGTGCCAACAGTTTTTCTAGTAATGTATGCAGCTATCACCGCCTTTTCCTTGATCCTTTGTCTTTTGCTCTACTAATCTGTCAATCTTTCTAATCTGTCTAATCTGTCAAATCTCTACCGCTGCGAGGGTTGATTTCTTTCTCTCTGTGGGACTTCCCTGCTCCAGATCTGTTTGTACCTTTCTTTCCTCTCTCTGCCTCTAAAAGCCTCCTGCCTGCATTTATATCTAGTCAGAGAAGAGAGTTATCTCAACCAGCATGTGTAAAACTCCCTTTTTTCCGCTACACTTGCGCTGTAAAGTCTAACAAACCTGTCTTGTTCATGATTTCACACGAAATCCTCCAACTCTATCTCATCTCTTCTCACGATCCCACCAGAGAAGCCCGGTCCTCCCATTGCTGTGACTGTCACTGACGTCTGGGGCTTCAATGCTGCACTGGAGTGGAAGCCCCCCAAAGACGACGGCAACTGTGAGATTATCGGCTACACCATCCAGAAGGCCGATAAGAAGACTAAGGTATGTATGCAGGAGTGTACAGGTGGTGCTGGGGGTTTTCATATCAGAGGTATGCAACTCTGTGACCAATAAAATGACATCTTTAAGTTATAAATAAAAGAATCTGTAATTTTATGGAATTTTTTCCCCCTTAAAAATATCAACAAAAGTACAAAATGAGACTATATTCACTCGTTTAATGGAATAAAACCATATAATACCATGTAAATCCCTAAGATTTCAGGAATATTTCCTTCTTATAACTATTAAATTATATTAAACTATGGATATATTTTTTACAGATTTCAATTTGCAATTTCTACATAGATTTGTTTGTTAAATGAGAGGCACCTTTAATCATATACATATGGTTTTAGAAAAAAAAATGTTGTTTGAATGTGTTTTCATCAATGGATGTTATCTATGAGCACTGGTAATCTATCAGAATGCAGCTCTTGTCATTATCTATCTATAGATCTATTGCTCTATTAATCTATCTATCAATCCATCTGTTACAATTTATGACAACTGTGCAAATAAACTCATCTCTTTCTCTTGATTTATCTTACATTTACTTTACGTTGCAGTTTGCTAAATATTACACTGTTTGTAATTAGGGTCCGAGCACTCCGGTGCAAGGACCCTATTGAAACCCTTGTGATTCTTATTATTAGGGTCCGAGCACCCAAAAGGGTGCGAAGATCCTATTGGAACTGCTCGGATTATTAAGGTCCGAGCACCCATTATTCGTGCCAAAGACACGCGCTTTTGAGGCCCTAAGCATACTCGAAAACTCTCCAAAATTGCCATGTACATCAGACCCGGTGAAAAATTTTATAATTTGGAAGAACAATGCACATCTCAATAGAAAAATTGCTCCACAGCGCCACCTTCTAAATTGTCAAAAGCACATTTGGCCTAGAGCTACGCAATTTTGTAGGCATATAGAGCAGGTCAGGATGAATAAAAAAGTCAGGCTGGGCCAAGCTGTAAAATGCAACACGGCTCAACGGCGCCCCCTACAATATTTCAACAGATTCCCATTGGGGCAA